AAATTTGTGAATGTTGTTCACCTTCCAGATGACATCAAGTTTGTGTTTTCATTGACCAGAGGTCAACAGTAGCTTGGAGAAATACCTTGAAAATGATAGAAAATTCAATAAAGACAAAAGTTTAATGCTATACTTGGGAAGGAAAAGTCAAGTTAAGAAACACCAAGTGATGAATAATTGGGTATGCAGTACTACTCCAGGAAAGGATCTGCATATATCTGGGATGGAGCAGTGTTATGATATGTACAAGGTGGTGATCAGTCATCATTTGTTCTGTTCAGAGAAGGGAAGGATATGAGGAAGAATAATGTTCTGTTCAGAGTGGTACTTTTTTTTTTTTAATGTACCAAGGAGGTTAGAGACTGTGTGTCTGTCCCTTTCAGAGGTAGTTACATATTTGGAATATTTTAACCCTAAATTTTTACTAAAACCTTTCAGTAGCCAGAAGCCTTAAAGAGTTAACACTTGTAAAGCTGGTTGAAATTTGACCACAAAACTGTCTTGGATATAGAAACTCAGAGATTGTGCCTTATTTTAGAAATGGAAAAATATTCCAAGTCTGTACTTCCAAACCTAAATGCAGGATACACAGCTTTAAGGAAAAAAATGTTTTTCATTGAAAGCATTCTGGAAAAGTATAGTTGTAATGCACCTTGAAGCTGGTATCCCGTCCATCTCTCTGAAGAGTGTGATTATTTTACAAAAACATGTAGTAATATATATGAAACACAGTGTATTTTCTAGCAGTTACTTATTTATATTGAATTTTTATAGAGGAAAGTAACAACTTTATAAGCTTTTTAAATGTCTTTGAGAAGTAACTGGGATACTAGGAAATCTATTCTTTACGGACTTTCAAAAGGTGCCAAATTTTTAAAAAAGATTATTCAAGCCATCTTTATAAAATTGTGTTAGAAACTAGTGGTGCATTGGTGTCCAAGTTAAATGAGTCAGACTCTAGAAAAAATACAGCTGGCACTAATTGAGGTATTTGCTACCAAAAGAAACATGCCCTTCCCTACTGTACTCTTGAACCTGGAAGTACAGATATTACAGTTCCTACACGCCCTGGTTTATAATGCTGACTAGTCAGGTTTTTTCTTTTTTTAATTTTCTTTTCTATTTTTTTAAAGTCATGTAAGCGTGTAAGAGAAACTGACCTTTCAAAGTGGTACATTACTCTCCTACTCAAGCTGTAAAAAAGCTGAAGAAAGGTTTCCTTAGAGTTTACCAGCCAAGTAATATCATGTACGTATTCATCTAAACCTGTCACAAGGAGTAGTTTTCAGTGTTTACAGCTCCCTTCAGGACCTACACAAAAGCCCCACAGTAAGATCTTGTAATCTCAAATGTAACTGAGAAGTCGGTCATTTTCCCACCTGTTAGCCCTGAGTAATGTGTGGTGGGGTGCTGCTCTGTTTGCAGGGATGTCTCGCTGTTCCTTGCCTGTGTGAGTGCGCTGCTCATGTTTCCTTCGTGGTGGGAGGAATCCTCGTGGCTGCTGTGCGCGCCCCTGCTGCTCTATGCGGCCGCCAGGGTGTGGGGCACGTGGAGGACGGCCAAGCTGCAAATGTCCCTGCGGAAACACTGCATCCAGCTGGAGGAAACAGTGGCCAATAGCCGGGCCTTCACCAACCTCGTCAGGAAAGCTCTGCGGCTCATTCAGGAGACTGAAGTGATTTCCAGAGGATTTACCCTGTGAGTCTGTATTTCACTTTGCTTAGCACACAGATCCATACAAACCAGCTGTTGTCTAAAATTGTCTTCTTACACTTCTCCCATAACAACTGGAAAACATAACACTTAAAGGTTTTAACTTACATGAAGTAGTGTAATTACCATTCATAGTAAAAGTATGAATTCTATCATCTCAGTGTTAAAACCCTGTATCCTGAAGATCAATTAAGTCTCACAAAACTCAGGTGCCTTTGGAATGTCCTGCATTGCTAGCAATGAAATATATGAAGAAATAGACTTTGAACTAAGTTAACTGTTTTGGAGAGTCATTTAGAGAGTTTATCTTACATTACCAAATTGATGTAAATAAACTGATCTGCAAGTAATCACTCATATTTTACAAAACAGGATGACATGAAAACCATTCTATTTTTATTTAACAAATATGTCTGAAGTAATGAAAACACAATAATCAGGAAAAACCATCAAACATAATTTCCCCCCTCAAGTAAAGTTAACATTAGTCTTTTTTCTCTTCCTTGCATACAGTTGTTGAAACATTTAGATTCTTAAGTTACTTGCTGTTGAATTTGCCTCTCTTCCACTTAAGGGATGCAAAAGTGTTTCTGGTTATTCAGCTCTTGTAGTTATTTGATAAGTTTTGCTGATTTGCTGTGTGAAAGGACATCAGAAAGTGTTCAGTGTATGCAGTGATTCCAAAGCCAACAGGCCTGTTTCTGTGCACTCTCATTGCCATGGATGCTTTTGCATTGTAACCACCTATGATGAATCCATGTGTGCCAATTCTGCTTAAGGCTAAAGGAGGTGGGAAACACCAACACCTGAAATACAGTCAACTTCTTTCTAAAACAAAATGAGAAGTTCCCTTGTGGCAACAAGATGTTTATTCATGCCAGACCAACTATTCTAAATTTAGACACGTTCTTACATGCAAGTGTGCAACTTTACACTTAAAATTCTGAATTAATTTTTTAGCTTGAGATACCTTCAGTGTATTTCACAGAAGAAATGTTTCATTCTGCCTTCGGAATGCATAAGCATGTCTTCACTCTGCCTAGCTATGTGGTTTTTGTTTTGGTCTGGATTTTTGCTGAAGAAGCATATACTTGAGCAATAGGCAGTCTTATCTTTGCAAACGAGTACTTAAAAAAAAATATTGTTCGGGCTTGTCCAAATTACAGATGAGAAAAACATTTGGATTTTTGCCTAAGTTTAAGCAAACGAACTTGTGGTCAATGTCTAAATTGCTGCTGCCTTGTTCTTTTACTACATATCTTAGATAACAGATTAACAAAAAACAGACTGGTCTTTAAGCTGATGCTTGATCTAATAGCTTCTTTACTTGAAACTTTGGCAAGCTTTTCAAAAGACCTGGGTATATGGATGGAGTGGGAGAAGTTTGACTGTGCCAGCGTCTTCACTGGAACAACTGTACAGTATAAAGAAGTCAATGCTGTACAAATTTTGGGTTGGTTTAGCCTAGAGGAACTTCTCACTCCAGAGTGTCCTTTTCTGCACCCACATATGCAAGAGATGCTGCTGCACAGGGCAGTGTGAAATTCTTTGCTTTGGGTATCTCTTGGAGTATGATCCTAAATGCTACATTTCCCTTTTTTTTTTTTTTTTTCCTAGAATTTTCTACAGTAAACCAGCAGAACAAAATTTAGTATTTTCTCCTGTAGAAAGGTTATCAAATCTTAGTGCTTTTTCAGAAGGAGTCTCATGGCAATAGAAATGTTTGCATTTGAAAAGTTACTGAGTATCCTCTTGTATTATTGTACATCCTAGAAGGAATGAGATTTCAATGAGGTGCAGCATCCTGGTCAGTGTTACATGTGCAGCTGTTTTAAGGTACTCCTGATTCAGCACAGGCCTGTGCATTGACCATATTGTGAGTGGAAAGATACTGCAGCTGTTATTTAACTAGTGCCAAGTTCAGACTTTGACTGGTTGTACTTAGCTAAACTCTGACAGGGCAAGTCCAAGTCTGCAGCTTTGGCCTGAAGTTCCTCATGCTCCACTGCTGGTTTTCCTCCCCATGACACCATCCACCGCTGTTGTCACAGGCTAATTTATACATCTGTTGAGATATCTATGGCTTTGCTTTATTCTACCCTATTTTCCCCTTGTTAATTGATACTGGACTGTCTCTGTAAATGGTAGATTATTACTGATGAGGTTTTGGTCAGTTCTCTGTAGGTTGAGTGGTTTATTACTGTGTGGTAGTGCCTGCTATACTCAAATAGATAGTCAAACATCCTTTTGCTTTTATTCACCTCCCAGTAAAACTGACTGCAGCCACAGAAACCAGAACAGGAATCAGATCAGGAACTAAGAAATTGAGGGGGGAGCTTGGATTAGATGGCCTCCAGTGGTCCCTTCCAATCTTAACTATTCTGTGATTCTGTAATCCTGTCAGGTTTCTCGTACATTAGCTGCTCTCAAAGGCAACTTGATTTTCTGATTCCAGCCTGGCCTTTGGAAGTGTTTAAGGCTCTGTTGGAATCTCAGGAGTGTCTGCTTGGTACCAGCTCTGTGAGGCTGAGACCTCACCTGGCTGGCTTGGATTACAGAAATTGTATAGCAAAGGTAGGGCAGTATTTCTGTCTAATTGCTTCATTTGCAATTAGCCAAATGAAGCCTGATCACAGGTTGCAGCCTGGAATTTCTGGAGGGTAACGAAAGTATGCCCATTATCTTGCACATCATAAAACAAGAACTGAAGGAATACATAATGGAAGGCTGCAGCAGTAAGCAGCAAGTATTTATTCCCTTGCTTGTCACCAAAATAATTAACTTCTTTTCTGAAATGCTCCCTTTTTATTGTACTTTAAACTTGAATTGAGCTCTGTGAACTTAATACATATGGATGTATATTAGCAACTTTAGAGAACTGCTTTCATGGTGGAGTGCAGTAATAGATTTTTATTAATGTCTTTATATAAACTTGTTAAAAGTTGAAAGCCAATTTAAGATTTGGCTTGTAAAATTAATGAACAAACATGTTGTTCTATACAGTAAAATGGGTTTGGAGCTGTAGAAAAGGGGAAATTCACCCTTAAACTTTCTTTGCTTCTTGCTACTTGTGGCTGATATGCAAGGCTGATAACATTTAGATTAACTTCTAAGTCCAATTAAAATGGATAGAGGATAAGAGAGAGACTTTTTACAAGGGTGTGTGCTGATAGGACAAGGGGGAATGGCTTTAAACTGAAATAGGACAGGTTTACACTAGATACTAGGACAAAAATTCTTGACTGTGAGGATGGTGGGACAGATTGTTCAGAGAAGTGGTGACTTACCCATCCCTGGAAGTGTTCAGGGCCAGGCTGTATGGGGCTTTGAGAAGCCTGGTGGAAGGTGTCCCTGCCCATAGCAGGGGGTTTGGAATTAGAGGATCTTCATATTCCCTTCCAACCCACACCATTCTGTGATCTGTGAAGATAAATGAAACATTAGGAATTTAGGGATATGACATGCCTGACAGAAAGACATTTAAGAGATTCTACTAATTAAATTAGTCAAATAAGGAAGAAGTTTTTTATAAAAAGCACAGAAGCAATCCATTCCAGAAGGAAAGCAGATTGTTTTGCTGCATACTGGCAGTACATGCTGTGCTTGAGTTATGCTATATTTGTTCTCTATAGGAGCTGGAAAAGTCTGCATCACTGTAGTAGAACATAGATCCCTGTGTCTTTTTTATGGTAGAAGAATTTTGCTCCTTTTCTTTGAGCTTTCTTCTGACAATTCACATGGGCTTGGGTCTACAAACTGATGTGAGAGTTTGTACATAAGCACTTCAGTTGTTACTTCCAAAAGCTAGAAAAAGGTTAGAGATTGGCATGTACTGCATTACATGCTGTGTTCCCTAGTGAAAGATCCAGCAAGGCTAGCATTTTCAATTTACATGTAGAAATGGAAATGAACACAGTTTAGTGGGATTTTTTTTCAGATTCTAAAGCCGTTTATGAGATGTTATATAAACCATTTTAATAACACATAATTTAAAATGGTATGCAGATATTTATAGTATTTCAGCTAGCATATTCAATATATGGCAATATTTGGCAAGAATCTGCTTGTGTTAATGGTGCTAAACATACTGATGTATGGTTCCAGCCTTGCTCACTGGGTGGGCTGCTCTGGTTTTCATATTTGATAGTGAAGGCCACAAGCTATTTCCCCTCCCAATGTGCAGCAAGGTCCAGCTGAGCACATGGAATAGGACTGACATTTTCCCAGCAGTGTCAGTCTGCTGACTTGGTCAGCTTTTTAGTCAGATGGACTACAGAAATAGTTTCCAATGGAGCAACCCACCTCAGGCTTACAGGTACCCTGTATGCTTTTCCCTTTTAAATGGCTGCACATGAAATCACCTCTTCACCCTGCCCTGGGAAAGGTGAGAGCAGAAGCAGGCTTCCAGTCCCCAAACAATAAATCACAATTGATTGTCCTGTTGTCCAGACCATGTTAATTCCTGAGCTGATTCTAGTAAAATCAGTCCCAGCAAGTAGAGTGCACCTAGGCTGTTTCCAGAGTCTCAGTTACAGGTTTGACATCAGATTGTACATGAAAAGATACAGCTGGAGCTTAAAGTTCCACAGATCTGTTCAATGTTCACCCAGATCACAATTCATTTTATTTCCAGATGAGATGATTTCTTACAGTGCTAAAGCCAATCTGAGTCATATTCTAATAGGCAAATGGCATTGTTTCTTTTAAATGGTATTTCACCTGAAAAGCCAGACACCAAATGTATCTTCCAGTATGCTTGTGTGGTGTATACATGTCATGTGTTTACCTGTCAAGACTCTCACAAACATAGCTGCCATCCATTGCATGATGACAAAATCTATGTCACTTCTCAAATAATATTTTTCTTCACCTAGAAAATTCTCTGCATCAGAAAGGTTAAAAGAATATAGTGTTTTGTATGGAAAGCTATGTGTTGGCACCTTTTTCCTGCAAAAAATAAATTTGGATATAAAGAGGCATATGTTAAATGCATGTTTATTAAAACTTACAAAGCTGACAGTGGGCTTGTAATAGTTTTGTATCCTGATAATGTTATGGTAAGTCATATTATGACACCATTTTGGAAAATTTTAGAGAAAATAAATGGGCTCAGGAGTTTTGTCACGACTCCGATGAGAATAAATTAAGGCTATTTACTGAGGAATCTTGGCTGCTGTTTGAAATTTTGATTAAATATATCATTGACCTGATCAGGGTTTAGTCTCATAGTTACTGAGTGATTTGAAAAAGCTTTCTAAGTAATGAAATAGGAAAACTGATGTACTGTTCTTTAAAAATACTTTAGGACATCTGTACAGTTGTATCACATTTTACTTTTCAAGTTTGCTTGACAGGGTCAGTGCCGCTTGCCCATTTAATAAAGCTGGACAGCATCCTAGTCAGCACCTGATTGGCCTGCGCAAAGCCGTGTACCGATCCGTCCGAGCCAACTTCCGAGCTGCACGACTGGCCACTCTGTACATGCTGAAAAAATATCCTTCCTCTAAAAACCAACCACTGCAGGTAGTCCATGCTGCCTGCTGCCACTTGTGCCAATGCTGAGAGTCAGGATGTCTAGAACATACAGCATCTAATTTATGTAACCATGGGAAAGAAAAGGTAGCTTAGTAAATTGGGGCTTGTGTTTGGTTTGGAACATGCTTTAGATTTGCCTTTTTGTGTACTGTGCAGTGTGATAAGATTCAGTGCACTGAAAACATTGTATCATTATTGACACCCATGCTTTGGTATAAGTGCTAGTGATGTGTTTCAGAGCCCTTCAAGATTTTGTTTTATAATTCCTCTTAGCCCAAAATATCCCTTGCACCAACATATCCTCCTCTCTGAACAATATGGCCTTTCACTCGACATCCCTGTGTTCAAAGGTAAGTTGGTTTTCTTCTACCAAATTATCTGCAGCAAATTAAGCTTTTATGTTAATGTATATCTCAAATATGTTGGAAGGAGATCAGTCTGAACTGTGACAGAGAATTAAAAATTTTAGGTCACAGCTTTATTCATGGTGGTATAAATTGCATAAACTTGATATGTTATCATTCTCACTTCTATTCAGTAGAACTAGAAGTTCAGCAATATTTGCTTGCGGCTAGTGTACCCTCTTTTGGTTAGATAGCTGCCTTCAGTGAGTACAGTTAAATATTTTTTACCTAATTAAAACTTGTTCCCATGTAGAAGAGAAAATATGCAGTCATATTTTAGCCTTATACCAGGCAGTTGTGTCAAACTTGGTAGACCAGTGATTTAACGAGAGGGAAAATCATATTGCTTACATTTTGTGTGGGGAGACAGTTGGGTACTAGCAGAAACAACTCAGCATTTGCTCACACCATTCTTGATCTAATTTGTTCATGTCAGCAAGAGTGCATTGCTCAAAGTCACAGAACAAAATGCCATAGAAAAGACTCTTTTAAATCAGAATCTAAGGTTATAGCAGGATGCAATGACTGAAAGCCTAAGCTAGGAATTAGGCACTTTGGGTTAAGTATGTACAGGATGTCGTGCAGACCAGTTCAAAAGCTCTCTGCACTGTCCTCCATTGAATTGTGTGGTAACTCAGGCAGTGCTCCCTTGGCATGCTAGCTGCTGAACACTTTTATTCTTAAGAGCCTTGTGGGTTCTGCATCATGGGAATCTGGTGTAGCTGTATACAAGCTGGATGGAGGAAATCTTGTAGCTTATGTTAGTGGCTGATGTTAATAATCCCATCCTCTGCTGTGTAGAATGGTCTGATTTGAACCATTTTCGTAGGCAGGACTTGGCCATTGGACCACGTAAACTTAAAAAGCTTGGATTGTGGTGTGAGGTGATGTTCTTTGCTGTCAAGGCATAAATAGTGTTATTTTTTTATTAGTGATAAAACCAAACATTGGATAGTGGTATTTTAAACTGAGTGATATCTAACCCTATTAGAATGGAATGCATATAAAATGCATTCTGTGCCTTTGAGATGCACTGGGCACAGGGACATTTGCAAATTTCCTGTAGTAAATCTAGTAAAAACTTGTTTCTGCTCTGTAAAGGTTTAGTTATTACATCATGAACTGTTAGAAAAACCCATACCTTTAACTAGGGAGAGGGCAAGTTCATGCAAGAAAACAAGTAAGCTAAACAAAAAGTAGTACCCTCTTGAGCTTATAAACGCTTAAATTGCCACACTGAAATATCTGAGTAGGGACACTTGGGTATTTTTCAGTGCAGTGTTTCTTCCTTGACCAGCCAGTTCATCACATGCTTAACTCACCCCTGGTTAGCAGGTGAGAATCTGTAGAAGAGCAGCTTGGATTTCCTAGGGATCCTGTGAGTCCCTCCTATTAGGTCTTCAGATGGGAATGTGCTTTTGAAGACTGAAATATGAATGTTAAAGTGTTACATACAGGGATACATTAGCATTCTTGCTTTTCTATAGGTAAATAAGAGTGTCTAACCTCATAAGAGGTTAGACATTCACTGTACAGGTATTTTATTCTGGATTTGACAGTTCATTGTTAAGTAGCATTGCCTTCTCTTCTTTCCAACTAATAAAGCATGTAAGTTAAACAGATGAATGAAATATTTTCACAGAGACAAAGAAAAAATTAACTAAGATAGTTAGGCTTTAGTATTTTGGCTTTAACTACTGACTAGGAGTCAGTAGGGCTAAAAATACAACGAAATCAAAGTGCACAAAGGAAGTGTGTTCCTGTGTATAATGGTGTGTATGTGTTTAAACTCTCCAAATGTTTGATCCTTAGGAAGTTAATGGGGGCATGGCATGAGTTCTCTGCTTTCATCTGTCAGATAGAAATGGGAGTGGAAGGGCTGCAATAGAGGAGGGCAAGGCAGGAGGTGCAGGAGGCCACTGGGAATCCCTGGCTGAGACACAGCATGGGTAAGTGGCTCCTTGGTCAAACCTCACATTTGAGATGTTGCCTGGAATTTATTTTTAGCATGACTTAGGAATCCATGTGTGTCCAAACTGCTTTTTGTTATTGGAAATGCCATGTTGCAAGAAAAGGCTAACAAGGAGTACAAGTAGTTTCTAAGATTAGTGATCCTGAAGGGTTTTGACCTGACTTTTCAATTTCTGGTGGAGTTACCATCCTCATCCTGTGTGCTCCCTCTGCTGGGCATGCTGTCAGGTTAATTCAGAATAGACACCATATATGTGAGGCAGCTGCTGGTGACAGCAGTAATGTTCTGATCCTAATTAATTTGCAGAGTTTTGTTTGAACATTTAATAAGCTTCTTCCTTTCCAGACATTAGGAATAAAGGAGAGAGAAATGTAGGCTTTTTAGATCCTGGATACTTTGCTTTACTGTTTCCTGGGACACAGAATACTACTTTTTCCTGCAATGTTCTTCTGCTTAACTGGTAAAAGTCTCTTGAGCAAATCAGTTTTGCAAGTTCAATCCTATGAGAATTTAGCACATGGAAAATTTGGGTGTGAAAGTTGATAGAACTCATAGCTTCCCCCTGAAAGCACATTAGATGGACAAGAGACAAGTGCTTCTAATTGGCTTTATGTGCAAGAGATGAGAGCATTCAGTTTCTAGATCAAACTATAAATGAAAAACAAATATATTAAATGAAGACCATATTTTAATTAATGTTTTACAAATGGATATATATTTCTGTGGTACAGATGTGATTTTGTACTTATGGCATAAGTTTACATTTCTGTTTTAAAACGAATTTTACTATTTTGTGACTGGGTAGCTATCAGAAGACATGCAAAAAATCTCGAACTGTTCCTCCCCAACCTGAGGCCATCCTAAAATTAGTACTATTCTAATAATAAATAACTTTTAAAAAATAATAAAAGCTGCCTAGTCTATGAATGATTTTTTCTGTTTTCTGGTATCAGTTATATTTGCCTTGCTTCCTACTTTTTAAGCATTTTTGAGGACAAGAAACGTACATTTTCCTGCTGAGATTTTAAATGTGCTGAATGGTGTTGATAGATACCAGTTTGCCACTCATCCTGCCAAGATCATAATGTCTTTACAGTGATGTAATCAATAAAGTTAATGCTGTGACACAGTCAGGGAGCTCCTGTTCTTCACAGAGCTTTCTGAAATGTCAGAGACCTTTTACTGTAAAGGCCTCTATGAGCAGTCCATCCACACACAGACCTCTCAGCGAATTCACATCCTGAGTTTAGTCTGTAACACAGGCTACCTTTAAAACTTAAAATTACAAAATTGTTCTCTTTCCTCTGTTAATTTCTGGTTTAAGATTGACATGAACTATTTCTTGGAAACTCAATATTTAAAATTAAGCTGTTTCACTCATTTAAAAGGGATGCAGGGATTTTTTATTCATCTACTTTGTTTCTTTTTATGTGTTTGTATTTTGACATAGGTGTTTTGTCAGTGTCTTATCTCTCATCCTTCTAAAAGCCTTTAAAAATTGTGCTTCAAATAAGGATTGCAGAACAGGGTTCAGGTGGATTTGGTATGAAAGTACATAATTTCATAAAAATTGCCTGGAGGAGAAACCTTATTAAGTATTTCTTTCCTTTTGTGTGTGTTTAATGGAAAAGTGGCTTTGTTTACCACCTTAACTCCAGCTAAACTTACCCTCTGAACTCAGAGAGTGACAACGTGACCAGCTACATCTGTGTGGTCCCCTTTAAGGAGCTGGGCCTGGGACTGAGTGAAGAGCAGGTCTCTGAAGAGGAGGCACACAATCTGACTGATGGCTTCAGCTTGCCTGCACTCAAGGTAAGCTCTCCTAGGAGGGCTTCATGCATCCATGCAGCTCCTGGTGAACATCTTTCTGTTGCCATGAAGTCCTGTGGCTTGTACATCCTAGCCTGTAGCAACACACTGAATGGAGGGTAAGGTGTAATCAGTCAGGCTCTTATCATGTGCTCTGCATTTATCAGCATTCACCTGATTTCTTTGTGCATGTAGTGAAAGAGAAGTTACTCAATACAACAATAGGATATTTTTCTGCAAATGATGGAAGTTCAAGTTAGTTGTTCTATAATCAGCTTGATCAATCCCCTTAAACGCGATTTTTTGCTCTCTGATTTAACCTGATCCCAGCTGAATAAAATAATTTCTGGATTTGTACTCAAATCTTTTTTTATCTAATCTCTTGATGTGAATAAAAAAAGAGACATCAAAAATCACAAATTAGTTGTAAATGCCAAAGGGAGTAGCTGCATTTAGTCACACTGAGTAGCAGAAATCATAAGCTTGGGCCCCTGCTGCCATGAGCCAGTGTGGTTCTTTGATCTTTGAAAAACTTTTAACTGAACAGAGTGACAACCATATAATGGCCTTTTATCTATTTTGTTTTCAGATGTTAGGTTTTTTTATTTGCA